GTGGCGCTCCACTGCTGAGATCTACTGATTCTGTCTGAGACAATGGGGATTCAGTTTAGTCAGTTCACTTTAAACGTTTGTTGGTAAAGATTTGTTTGTAGATTTATTGAGCAAAACACCTTCTTACGTTTGAGAAGCTGGAACCACAAACTGTTATTTTAGGTTTAACAAATAGCTTTGACAATTAAGCTGTAACCAAATTAATTAGCGATTAATTTTCTGTCAATCAGCTAACTGACTGACTAAATGTTTCAACCCAAGTTCTTTATTTACTTTCATCTGAGCATCAGGTAAATTGACCAGTGCTTATCTCCTGTTTTATTCTGATGGCATCCCAACATCAGTAAGCTATTAGTATGCGTTTGTCTCCAGTATTGCATTGCATATCATAGAGTCTCTGAGTCTTTTGCATCATTTCTTTCTCATAGGATATACTTTGAAGTTCTCTCCAAAAGCGTTGGTACTCATCGTGTGTGCTATGATGAATGATTTAGACATCTGTCTGTTAAATGTGGCTCCTTCTGCCAGACAAGGTGGGTGTGAGCTTGTAGGCATACTGTAGCTGTCGCCGTGTCAGGGGTAATGAGGTGAGATGGGTTGTAACCAAGTGCTCAACCAAGCAAAACAAAGCCATGTGTTTATCTAAAGGTGCCTCCTCTTGGACTGTTTGGGATGTCATTGTTGTCGGGGCGGCATGTTGTGTGCGTTTGTCTCTCTCGGCTCTCGTGCTCCATCAAGCTCATGGTGTGTGTAGCGGTAAATAAATGGCAGTCGGCCGTCGCTCTGCTTTAGGCTGTGCCCCGGCCCTTTAATCTTAACCAGTGTCTCCTCGGTTTTTTCCCTCATCTCTGGCTAACCACCCTAGACAGGGGAAGTGCAGAGAGGTAGGCTGCCTGTCGGCTGCGGGGCAAATTTAAACAAACGAGCGAAATAAAAGAAGGAATGGGAGACAAAAAAGGGAAACTGACAGCTTTGGTACAAGAGAATAATTACAAGCCAGAATGAAATTAGCTCAGGCGAATAGAGGGGAGAGCACCAAAGAGAGTGGCAAAAGAAGAAAGAGCGCCCCGTGCTCTTTTTTTTTTTTTTCTGAGGAGCAGGTTCTGAGAGTCGGTGGGAGCTGAGGGAAAATGCTGAGCATTGTATCTAGAGCTTAACAGGTGTAACAAATTCTAGGAGGTAGTCATTTGCCGAGGCTGCTGCCTATGCAGTCACTCCTTTTAGTATAATAGAAATATGAGAAGTTGCCCAAGAGGGAGTGCATCCAGAATGTGTGTGTTTGAAATGTAGAGTGAGCAGGGAGGAGGAGATGAAAGAAACAGGGTAGGCGAGAGTTGGATGCAGTCTACTACACTGGTTATCCTGTTTTTAGTTTTTTTTTTCCCCTTAAAAGTCTCTCTGAATAGGGGAGAAATTCCCCACTGAAACTTAAATTCCTTTTTGTGGCTGAGTGTGTACATTAGTCTCAATACATCCTGAAAATATAGCCTGTAAATCAAGCATAAAGCAGTGAGAATAAGCGCTTGCATTTTGACAAATAGCCCCAATTTCAATTAATAGGACCATTAAAGCTCAGAGGAGAGGTTGACGACGTGTGCATTCAGTCGCTGTGAGCAAACGAGACAGTTCACTCTGGAAAAAAAAAAAACATCACACACACAACAACTCTTGACATGCACACCCCATCACATCAAGAAGTCTCTCTCTTTCAGCATTAAAGGCAGACAACACGACAGCACACTCAAGGATTACGGCGAGAGGTTCTGAACTGATGGGGCCGCTGGCATAATTGTGATAAATGACGGCCTTTTGTCAGGGTGCCGCTCCACGAAGCAAAGAGCAAGCTTTTCTAGTGTGTGTGTTGGGGGGGGGGGGGGGATCACAAGTATTAGTATGAAAAAATATAAAAACATGTAATTTTTTGTGACTGAAGAAAGCGAGCTGATTGACTTTAATATAGTGGAGGTTTTTAAAGAATGAGGCAGTTATTTATCCCTGAGGTTTCTTGGCCTTGAATAATTTGGACTGACTCCTCCAGTTCTTTCCTTTATGTGGGTGACAGGCTCCCAATAATGCTCCTACATAATAGCCAATGAACCATCAACACTGGGCGAGTGTGAAACACTTTATTAGTTTGCAATCTGTCCTGGAGGTGTAGCTGACAACAGCTGTGGAATAACTTCACAGTGTACACATGGTAATATGTCCAAGTTCCATATGGTACACATAACGTGTACGACTCAGAGGCTCGTAGCTCTGCGAGGAAACAAGGCACTTGTACTGTACATCCTCTACACCTGCTGCTCTGACCCATAATCCCATGATGCCGAAATAGTACAACGCCAAAATCTTGTTTCAACAAATTAATCCATCCATAATTCAAACGGAAAGTGAAAACAGGATTTGAGGGTTGGGCAGGCAGCTAGACAGTTTTTTTTTTTTTTGTGTGTGTGTGTGTGTGTGCGTGTGACTCACAGAGACTTTGAGACAGGTACAGACAACAGCAAAACATGAATTTTGAAAGTGTAGTGAAACTGTAAAGGGATTACTTACATTGGTATTCTGTCTTTATAAACAATGTACTAAAATAGACCTGCACTGTAGTTTGTGTTGCAATAGGATTAAGATGATGCAAAATGCCCATCTTGAAGCCCTGCCATTGAAAGATTTTATTCATGGAAACGACATCTTTCATAAATAGTTGGCATCTTGAGTTATGCACATTTTGTTGTCTGGAAGTTTTAACAGTAAAAGTGGTCCTAAAACACACACGTGTGTGTGTGTGTGTGTGTGTGTGTGTGTATATATGTATGTGTGTGTGTGTGTGTGTGTGTGTAATATAAATAAAAAATGTGTGAGGAAAATAAGTATTTGAACACCCTGCTATTTTGCAAGTTCTCCCACTTAGAAATCATGGAGGGGTCTGAAATTGTCATCGTAGGTGCATGTCCACTGTGAGAGACATAATCTAAAAAAATAAAAAAATCCAGAAATCACAATGTATGATTTTTTTAATTATTTGTATGATACAGCTGCAAATAAGTATTTGAACACCTGTCTATCAGCTAGAATTCTGACTCTCAAAGACCTGTTAGTCTGCCTTCAAAATGTCCACCTCCACTCCATTTATTATCCTAAATTAGATGCACCTGTTTGAGGTCGTTAGCTGCATAAAGACACCTGTCCACCCCATACAATCAGTAAGAATCCAACTACTAACATGGCCACGACCAAAGAGCTGTCCAAAGACACTACAGACAAAATTGTACACCTCCACAAGGCTGGAAAGGGCTACGGGGAAATTGCCAAGCAGCTTGGTGAAAAAAGGTCCACTGTTGGAGCAAACATTAGAAAATGGAAGAAGCTAAACACGACTGTCAATCTCCCTCAGACTGGGGCTCCATGCAAGATCTCACCTCGTGGGGTCTCAATGATCCTAAGAAAGGTGAGAAATCAGCCCAGAACTACACGGGAGGAGCTGGTCAATGACCTGAAAAGAGCTGGGACCACCGTTTCCAAGGTTACTGTTGGTAATACACTAAGACGTCATGGTTTGAAATCATGCGTGGCACTGAAGGTTCCCCTGCTTAAACCAGCACATGTCCAGGCCCGTCTTCAGTTTGCCAGTGACCATTTGGATGATCCAGAGGAGTCATGGGAGAAAGTCATGTGGTCAGATGAGATCAAAATAGAACTTTTGGTCATAATTCCACTAACCGTGTTTGGAGGAAGAAGAATGATGAGTACCATCCCAAGAACACCATCCCTACTGTGAAGCATGGGGGTGGTAGCATCATGCTTTGGGGCTGTTTTTCTGCACATGGGACAGGGCGACTGCACTGTATTAAGGAGAGGATGACCGGGGCCATGTATTGCAAGATTTTGGGGAACAACCTCCTTCCCTCAGTTAGAGCATTAAAGATGGGTCGAGGCTGGGTCTTCCAACATGACAATGACCTGAAGCACACAGCCAGGATAACCAAGGAGTGGCTCTGTAAGAAGCATATCAAGGTTCTGGCGTGGCCTAGCCAGTCTCCAGACCTAAACCCAATAGAGAATCTTTGGAGGGAGCTCAAACTCCGTGTTTCTCAGCAACAGCCCAGAAACCTGACTGATCTAGAGAAGATCTGTGTGGAGGAGTGGGCCAAAATCCCTCCTGCAGTGTGCAAACCTGGTGGAAAAACTACAGGAAACGTTTGTAATTGCAAACAAAGGCTACTGTACCAAATATTAACATTGATTTTCTCAGGTGTTCAAATACTTATTTGCAGCTGTATCATACAAATAAATAGTTAAAAAATCATACATTGTGATTTCTGGATTTTTTTTTTTTTTTTTAGATTATGTCTCTCACAGTGGACATGCACCTACGATGACAATTTCAGACCCCTCCATGATTTCTAAGTGGGAGAACTTGCAAAATAGCAGGGTGTTCAAATACTTATTTTCCTCACTGTATGTATATGTATGTGTGTGTGTGTTATCTCCAGCTGATGAAGACAAAACACAGTTGGCAAGGATGTTTGACCACGAGGCCCATGAGTCTGCAGGTTTTCACTCCAACCAAACACCACAATGACTGATTACACTGATTTCCTGCTAGACAACTAATAAGTGATATCAGCTGGTGTTCCCTTAGTCCACGGGGTTGGAAGATGAATCTGGAAGGTCAGGACATTAAACAATAGAATATGATCAAAAAACATTTGCTACACATGTCTATTATTTCTGACTCTTCTTTAACCTTTGCTTTTAAAAAAGAAAAGCTGGATAGCTTTGCGTAGTCGAGCCTCTGAAACCTATTCAAATAAGAAAGAGAGCATCACTTGGGGTCGGGAGCAGACTTTGATTTAAAGGCTCACAAGCCCAAAAGATTTGGTTCCATTGGGTTAGACATTGAAATATTGGAGCACTGTGGAGAGTGAGTTTTACTGGTGGATGCCTTTTCAATCGTGTCTCTGTGGTACTGAAGGGAAAAAATAAATCATCACTCCTCTGTATTACTTACTTATTACTTTTCTCTTTGCAAGTTCTCTGTAAGTGACAGAGAAAATGTACACTAAAGGTCACAGTCTGTCTTTTGGCATCTTAAGGCAGAAGAGCGTTGATCAAATTTTTCCCTGAAACGACATGTGCTTAACTCAAATAAGGAAACCACAGATAATCCCAAACAGATAATGTACATGGAGTAGCAAGAAATCACAATTAAAACTGTTTATGAAGAAAACCTCAAGCCATCTGGATGCATCAAATTCAGCTAATCTGAGGCAGTTTGGGCAGTTGTGCCCAGATTAAAGAAGGGAATAAACACTACTAGACCTCAACGTACATTTCTGGAATATCCTTTACAGTCCGATAAATGTGGTCACAGTGTTTAGTTTAAAAATACACGCCCACAAATGCATTTTGAGTTATTCTTAGCACAACAAGATGTGCAGAAAGCCAAGCTTGCCAAATGCATTTCCACCGCTCTGCATTATACCCATCACTGCTGTACTGAAAGTTATCTGTTTGGATGTGATACTGGCTTGGCTGGTCTGAGTTTTGGGTGTGGGCGTGCGTACATGCTTTTGTGCATGCGTGCGTGTTCAGAGAGACTCTAGAGTTCATGGGAGATGAAAGAGGGCCCTAAGGGTGTGTCTGTGGGCTCCAGGCTGACGTGGGAGAGAGTGTGGCTTTGGGAGCGAGACAGTGTGTGATAATGAGAGGGAGGAGCTTTCCCCTGGGTCTGTCCCTCTCCCTGCCCTGAGCTCTGGCTTGGCAGGGTTGAGTCTCCTGGTTCTATTCCAGCCACAGTCCCCGCTCCCGCAGCACCGTGCTCCTGCTTGTGTCTCTCCCAGGCTGAGCTCAGCTTCACTGCCAGAGCCAGCAGGTTCTTTCCCAGGAACACAGTGGACACACGAGGGTCCCTGTACCACAGCATGCCTGTGCCCCTCAGAGCCAGTGTGAAGATATTGATAGTCACCAAGCTGAGCCAAGGGTACAAAGCCTCCTTACGGGGCCCCCTCTGTCCTGGCAGGCCGGTGGCCCCCAGCTCTGTGAGGGCCACACAGGGCAGCAGCAGCAGGAGAGCGTAGCAGTAAAAGAAGACTAGGCCCTCGGCCCACATGGGCAGCCTCTGCTCAACCACCCCTCCACTTCCTGCTGCAGCCCCTCCTTGGGCTTCCCACAGCCCCGCCTGCAGGTCCAGCACATCCAGCAGGTCCACCACCACCCACAGGAGCCGGCCACGCACCTCCTGCTTCCTGCGCTGCGGGGACATGTGGTCAGCTCCCGTCAGGATAAGAAACAGGGAGGGCAGGCAGATGGACAGCAGCAGCGTCAGGGTCTTCCTTGCCAGCGGATCGGGCGGCCGGCGCTCCTGCCTGTAGTTATGACAGACGAAAAAGAGCTTGAGCTGGAGCAGGGACAGGAACAGGAACCAGAGGGCGTTGGCAAAACCACGACGCGGCGACCGCGCCTCTGACACCACGCCGGCCGACACGAAGCGCAGTGCGAGCAGGAAGCCCACATCACCTAGCAACACTGTCACACACTGCCACACGCTGGGTCCTGGAAGACCACGAGCCCCCAGCATGCTCTGCTCCAGCAGGTAGAGGTCCACCACTGCCATCGTGCTCACTGTGACCAGGGTTGATACGCACACCTGGGGCGTGGGTACCATGCCTGAAAGAGAGACGCACACATGCACAGTGGTAAATCTGTTACATCGACAGAATTCAAACTCTGCTCACGTTGCATTACGCGGTGCCATCTGTCCCCATTAACTACCAGATATGCAAGATAAGAAAACATTCTTGTTTTTTTCCCAGCATTATTCAAACTAAATGTTAAATAGTTTGATGTTTGTTGCTATGGTTAAAGACATTGGCTGCCTAGTAAGCACTAAGCGTCCTTCATCTTTGGCCAGAGCTACATCTACCCTGGCTGCTCTAGCAGAAGCCTGTTAAATTGTTTTTTTTACTCTGCAGCTCTTTGAATTAAATAGTTTCCATAAAGGTCCCAACATTGCTTCTTTTTGATTTTGAGATTTTCCCCAAGTTACTTTTTTCTGTGTATTGTTGCTGTTTCTGTTCTTTTTTTGTTCTCTTATTCATTATTAATTAATTGTGTTCAGGCGCAGCTAGGTGCCCTGTCAAAGCCTTTTCTCTGCCTCTATAGTCTGCCATGTTTATTCTCATACTGTGCTGCAGTCTTTAATCATTGCAAAGTCCCCTCTCATTTCAGATGAATATTGATAACTTGCTATTTGTTTAGAGATGCGTTTGACTGTCTTTGTGTACTCTGGGTGAGTGCATGCAGGCAATGCTAATCTGGCTGAATTTTTTTGTTGCAGCTCATATCTCAGCCACGGACAGTATAAACCCCAGTATTGACATAGCCTGAGAAATGACCATTGCCTTTACAGTGTAATCGAACTGACCTCTCTTTATCGTATTTAGCTGTAAAAGCACAGCACAGACCAGTGGACTGTCAGTTATCTTCTCAGCACCACTCGGGAGTGTCAACCCCTCAACAGGATCAATGACATTATAATATAAAAATCATTACCAGCTCAGATGTGTCGTAATGGCAACAGTTGAGCGTGATCGAGCGAGAGATTGTCAGCATGATTGCGGTCTCTGAGAAAAGTCTGCCAGTGGAAAGTGTGTATTGATATCTTTCCGATGGAAGACGCATCACTTCCCTCACTGTAAGACTAACAGGAGCTCTGCCACCTCCTCGGTGCTGTCTGAATCATTGAAGAGGGCTGAGGAACTCCACTGGGTAAAAAAGGGGGCTTGAGATTGTGTGTGTATGTGGAGAGGGAGAATGAGCATATGACTGCAAGTGAAAGATTAATAGGCCTCTTGGCTGTCTACATGCCTAATAAACTGTTACTGCATGATGGTAATAGTTCATAAATAAGCTCAGGGGGGGAAGAGGTGAAAGTGATGAAGAGGAAAAGACTCAAATGCAGATAGAAAGTGACTTCCACCCACTTATATGAAGACATGCATTTGATGAGCCAGCTTGGCCTGAATGAATCCAAGTGTATTCATCACCTCCAGTATTGAAATATCACAGACATTTGGAGTTTGTTCTGAAACCGATGAATCAAAGAGATGAGGAAAGGAACGATCTCAACTGATTAATCCGCTCGGAGGCATGGTGGGAGGACAGGCGTGGATCATGCCAGCATTCGTAATATCTGATTGTCTATGAAGCCTTTTGTCTCACCGCATACTGCAACATGATTATTATTCTCCTGAAATTGAATGAATTTCACCAAGCCACAGATTGAGAGGATATTGAAATTCAAATTTGTTTTATTCTTTCTCTGGGAATAAACCCAATCTACAGGCGCAGGGTGGGGATGGAGAAGTTTACAGCCACTGTTGCGGCTGGCTTTTTCTCGAGGTCGTGCCTCTTAAGTTATTCCACCTGCGCCTTAAATTTCACCCTGGAAATCTCCCTGTCAGCCTGTGTTTTGTGTTTTGACTCCCTGTCAACGCTGTGTAATTTATTCTGTCCTGAGTGAGGGACCGGGATGACAGCCCGTGTGTCCACTCAGCTCATCAATAATGACCAAATTCATCATTCCCCTGCCGGGAAGTGACACTGCTGTTGACAAGGTGAGGTAGCCTATTTTGCTGTAAGCATGAGTAATGGCATGTAATAGTGTGTAGGTGAAAGATTTGTTCATTTTTTTTTCTCCTCCAGCCTTAAGTGTGTGTTGTTTTGTTCTGAAAATCCATTTTTGTCCCACCTTTTGTCTTTAAGCTTATATGGTGTGACACTAGTGCACAAGACTCTCCCTCCATCTGCGCTTGTATCTAAGTAATCATCCAAAAAGCTCTCATTCTTTGCAACAGGGATAGAGATAAAGCAAAGGGGTGGAGGCAGAGCAGTTGCCACTTGCATTTGTTTTCTATTATTATTGGGTGTTATCCAAATGGACAGAAATCCATGTAGAGCAAACATTAATTTGTCTACACCCCAAGTTTATCTCCACAAATACGCCCCATAAAGCTCCAAATTACATCAAAGACTAGAATCCCTCACAAGTTATAACAGGTGCCCCTGGAGCACCAAGGGCATCAGGACAACATCTCTGCCATTATGTGCAAAGTAATTAATTAATATAGAGCCAGCCAGTGTGCAATCCCTGATAATGCCTTGCTGAATAAATCCGCTCTCCAGACTTAAAGCCATATGCACAAAACATCTGTTGATTTGTCAGGTATTGCCTGAGGGGCTTGTTGTTTTGCATTTTTTTTTTTTACAGAGTTATCAGGTTTTGTTTTTCTTTTGGAAAAATGTGCCGTTATCATTAGCTGCCCCAGCATGCAATGCTGTTGTGTGTTTGCTGATCCTTTGGGCAATTTAAAAATCTATTAAACCGCTTCTCTGCAACACCTGTTTCATAACTGCCCTATTAACAGCAGGTATTGTGGGTTTATCCGTGCACGGCTGGTAGTAAATTGAAGCTTTAGTTACCCAAACCATTCGTCTTGCACTTGGGCTCGATCCTCCTGGCTTGATTTACAGCAAGTAATGTGTTTTCCCCCACTAGTAGAAGCGCTGTCGGTGACCAATAAAGTCTCTCTTTATTGTCGTTGATGAGCCGGGCTCGGTGATAAAGTCTTTCTTACAGTCCGGGTGTTTGTTCACAGTCAGGCTCCAGGAGAGGGCTCGTCTCAAGGCTGTAAGAGGGGGAAGTCATCGCCACTGCCACACCAAGCAGACCCTAGTTTGTAGGAACAAAAAATAGGCTACTTATCAAGGTTTCCCCCTCCGTGCAGATCTGGCGTGGCCGATATCCCCCGCGGCTCCGTGGTTATTGTAGAGGCTCGATCTGAATCTGGATCTGTCACTGCAGTGTCGGGCTTCTGCTGGTTTCCCGGTTTATCTTTTGACACAGCAGCGGGGGCAGAGAGCCGTGTGTGGGGGGGCGGGGGGGGCTGCTGCTGCTGCTGCTCGCTCGAGCTCCGGCTGTGCGGAGCGGCTGGGGGAAGTCGTCCAGAAGTGGAGCAGCAAGGATCAGCGGCGAACCGCTAAAGTGTAAACCGCATACAGATCAAGCCGAGAAGATGGCTCTTGAGAGAGCGACAGAGAGAGAGAGGGAGAGAGAGAGAGCCGTTCAACACCGAGAGGATAGGAGGACGAAGAGAAACTCACTCAACGCTGTCCGAGTTTGGCTGTGGTGTTCATTTGTAAGCATGTTACGTGCTCCAGTCCAGACCACCCACCCTCCTCAGCTTCTCCTCCAGCATCAGCTGTGGAAGTTTTTTAGCTGGAAGATGCTATGAATATTTCAAAGCACCCAGTTACAGTATACTCATTGGTTATGGTAATGGTGATGATGCCACTTGCAGAAGATTAGTTGCATTGTTTGGGAGCAGGCTGATACCTTATTTACCCTTCCTGGCTTGAAGTCAGAGCGGAGGAAGTGGAGCGAAAGATGCTTGTAGCCTGTAGACACATTTAGAGCTCTGAAGGCAGATGTTACAACTTTAATTAGTCCTCCTCCTGTCTGCTTACTGTCTTAGTCACACAAGGAAATCATCCCTCTGTTGTAGATTAACTCATTACAGCCGGCTTACTGAATACTTAAACACAAGGATTGGGAATTTCTGAGGCAGATCTTTGCAAAAATAAAACCTTTTATAAAAAGAAGGCTGGCTGATTTCCTCGTTCAAAATTTATTTTGGTCGACCATAGATGTTATTTTAAGGAATTTCCTTGCGTCACCTTGTCCTCAAGGTCCTGCTCCTTCAAGTGTATCTGTAGGCATTCCAGTCTGCACCTTTAGCAAAGGCTCAACCTCCCTCGTTTCTTTGGCTTTCAGTGTGCCGGGTTCATTTTAGAGTGAGAGGTTTAATCAGACTTGTGAGAAAGGGGATGGAGAGTCATCTTTCTTGTCAGATTCAGCTCTGCGCTCTGCTGGCTTCCAAGAGAAGAGAGATTTTTCCATTTTCCTTACTTCAGCTTGTGGTTTTTTTATTTCTCTTCACCCCTCTTCTTCTTTCTCCTGGCTGTCTGTCACCCCTCTCCACATGTTTATCCCATTCTCTCCTCCATCCTGCTACTATCCTCATTTTCTTTTTCTTTTTTTTTGTTCTTGTTCCCTGTGGGTGTGGTTGAAGGTCATTCTGCACGCTGGCTCACTTTCAGAGAGGGGGCGGGGGGGGGGGTGAGGCAGGAAAAAGGACAGGGCGAACAGTGAGAATAGCAGAGGAGGGCGAGGGGCAGCCAGGCGGGCAAGCTGTCCACAGTACTGTGCAGTCATCACTTCTTGCTTCAGACATGATTGGGGAAGTTTGGTAGGACACATGGGGTTGCAGACTGTCCAAGAATGCTGAAGAGTTCAACAGTGAGCACTGCTCCGCATAGAACCCGAGGCTGAAGTCCACAAACATGGCAAACATGGAGGACTCAGTGTAATTACCGAGGCATGAACCGAAAGGGTATCTCACAGATTTAGCTTTGCACTACATCGTACTGATGATGGAAAGGTTGAAAAAAAAATGAAAGGATCAAAATCAGAACTGCAGAACCAGTGATATTGTCTTTTTTTTTATTCCATAAATTCTTCTTCCTTGTCGAAACATTACCCACAGTGCAACCTGACCACACAACAGTTCAGTCTGAGATTTGGGTGTAGTATGCTAGTAGCGACTAATGCAGCCTTGAGCCTCAAGCAGAGATGAGGAGCAGCTACACATGTCTGGTAAGCTACTTTCTAACTCCATAATTTTCAAACTTGTAGTCTTTAGGCCCAACAGACGCTAACTCAAGTGACATCACTTAAGGCAGTTCATCAGATTTTACACAGCTCCCTCTGGAGCCACAAAAGGCTTTGTACAAGTTTTCTGTATTATTTTTTTTATTTTTTTACATATGCCTGTGAACAGACTTGTGTAAAATCGGTGGAGTTCCCCTTGTAAAAGAAAAACACCTTTTAGTATGCAAATTTCACTTTTATCTCCACGAGTACTCCACAAACACAACACAAGGTTTGTTAAAACATTGCTATCAGTTGTTGCAGTCTGACTTTATTCCATCCCTTGACTCTCTCTCTTTGTGTTTCTCTCCTCCACTTGTCAGCGTATGTTGTGATTGTTCAGTCATCTCCAGCGTGGAGCCTCAGCTGCCTGCGGTTCAGGCTTCTGTGTTTCTGCAGCAGCCTCCACACGTGATTAATCATGTGAAGTGGTAAAAAGCACAACACTGTCAAGACTGTGAGGGGGACCTAATGGAGTTGAAAATGGGATGTTTTGTCGTGATGCAATCCATTTTGTTCCACCTTCGCCCGCTTGCTTGCTTTCACCATGCACTCAAACAGCAAATTCTTCTTCTTCTTCTTGTGCCAGGTACCAAAAGTGAAAGCTGTGTCTATTTTCAGCAAAGGTCCAGACAGAAACAACACTGCTGAGAAGTTTTGGTTGTTATAAAGATGAGTCCCTGAATTTGGTCCGCTCCGTCAGTTAAGCGCGTTTGAGCAGCGCTCCTCAGCTCTTTTATACAAGGCTGTATATTGGCCTCAGCACAGTTCACTGGAGACTGGGGGATGAAAATCGTTTTCATTTTCCACTTTTAAGACTAATCCACTGATTCCAGGGTAGAAAATCAAGTAAAATGCATGTCCAGCATGAACTCAATTTATTTTGTGCTGTTTGCTGCGTCTGTTAGACCTAAACTGACCTGCTGCTCAGCCTCTCACTCTGTTACCCCTTCTGCAGCTGAGGGTTCAACATGAAACCTAATCAGCTGTATGACGCCAGACTGGGGCTGAATGTGATAAAATGCCAACAGCGGAGCAGATTAAATGAACAAGGTAATGAAGGTAATGAATGAGAGTGTTACACACTGAAGAGTTTAATTAACCTCGCCTCCCACCAGCCTCTCTCCACTGTAACACCTTTGTCACTGTATCGCAGCCCTCAGCTGTGTCGACCGCCCTGGGCAATTTATGTGGCCTTGTGTGCCAGTGGCAATTAATCCCCCCTCTTGCCCCAAGGCCTTATCCTGCGTCTGTGTCCTTTATCTCCATGTTTGCCACGCATCCATAAGCACAATACTTTACTTGACCTACTCTCCATCTCTTCCTTCCCCTCCTCCTCCACTCCCTTTCTCTTCCTCTCTCCCTCATTTCTACATTTCCCCCCTCTCAGATGCAGACACCTGCGACCACACACAGTGAACGCTTGCTCACCGTCAGCAGTCCCTGGCAGCTTAATATGCACACACATCCACTCTTGAACGGATAGTCTTGTCAGATTGAAATGAGGCAGAAGTATTCATACATAAACATACACACTCACCCATATTCATGAGGACCTCCCACGGCCTTGGCTTTACTTTTCTCCTCTCCCGTTGTTCAGCTCGGGCGAACAAACCCGCTCTCATTGTTCAAATATTGACCGCGATCGCTGGCCACAATCTGACAACTTTAACACACCTCAGCTGTCTCTCTTTCCCATTTCTGTCTCTCCTCCCCCGCCATCCACACACACACCATCCTGCCACACCAGTGCTACATCTTGTTAAAAAGAGTTAGTGAAGCTGAAAGGCCAATCACATTAACAGGGAGGGAGTGTCAAAAAAGACTGCAGAGAATATGGTGGAAGGGTCAAATCAAATGGACACTTCTCAGATTTTAATTGCAAATGCCTAATTGCTACCATAATTATGAGTAATAAGACTGTCCCGCGCAGATCTTGAATGGATCACACAACAATTAACTCACCAGTGCCGCTGCTGGATTTGACGACGGGAAATGTCTTCGTAGATTAGCGTTTAATCCCGATGCCCAGGATCTCAGAAGTCTTTTGAAGATGTGCTACTGAATGTCCTTGTCCGCAGCCGGCGTGGAAGGCCTCGCCTTGGGTGATGGGCTTCAGCCATTTTATACTGGAGAGCACCCGGCTCTAATCAGTCATGGTGGAAGAGAGGGGATTTATCCAGCAGTTCGGACTCGAGGATGATTAGATGCTCAGATGCAGCGAACGGGGTTAGCGATTTGGCCAGGGCATGAATGTTACTGTTCTAGTTCTCTCTCTCTCTCCCTCTCTGATAAATGTCATGTGAAGTTGGAGGGGCCAACCTTGAAACTTGCTTTCATGGCATGCCAGCCCTCTGCCACTTTTAAAGACCGTGATTGCAATTACCAACACGGTTCAATCGCGGTAATTACTGCAGTTAAACTATTAAATAGCCTGAGGCCAAAATAAAACTTGCTCACACTCTCATCTGAGATGCCTGGACTCTTGTGGAACAGTTTAATTAAATGATTACCTGTCTCTGGTGTATACTTAATTGTGTACAGAGCTCAGGGCAAAGTGTTTGCTATCTCCAAGTGGGTCGTGTCTCTAGTCCTCAGGCCAGTCTTTCTCTTATTTGCCCTATTTTTTTTCTCCATGTTTGTTCAAGCTCTTTTTAGCAGCGAAGGACTGCCTTGTCAGGGAGGACATGCAAAGTCTTTGCCTCTGTCTATCTTTAGAACAGTCGCTCCTCTGTATGCATAATGTCTCGCACGTTTTTGAAGCATCGGGCATTATCTCTGGCTGGTCAGGGAGTCCCTTTCACGGCATTGTGTGGCTTGAAAGGGCCATCTGAGTCATTGGGAGAGATCATTTTCCGACACGGGCTAAACAGAAGGGAAAGGAACGGGAGCCGAATGTGTGAGGCAGAGCCCGAGGGTTTGCTTTGACTCATACCCAACATCACAGCCTTTATACTAATCCATATTTAATTAGACTTTCTTTCAGTGCGCCCTCCCTGCTTGTTTACCCTAGCTGTGTTGTTTTATGGGATGAGGAGGGAGGGAAGGGCATGGGTAGAAGGTAGTGAAGATGACATGGGATTACTATTAATAAGCACGGGAGGGAAGGTAGAGCCTAGTGAGGGCTCTGGGGACCTAGCTGTGTTTCATTTCATTAATAGGATATTGTAATTCAAAAAACACCCATCAGCTCTGGAACAATAACCTGCCTCGACTCATGTGATGTGTTGAAATTTCAATCGGTTTGTTATTATGTTAGCAGATTCACAGAAACGCTGGTGAGTAATAAGTTATGTTTTAGACACTAATGAAGGGATGGAGTTCTGTAGATGGAGTGGCTGATTAGCATTCATCAGGTGCTTTTGAAGCCTTTAGTGGAAATGATGTTCACAGAACTTTCTGCTCCGTTAAGTTCAAATAAATGTCTTCCGCGTCTTGTCATTGGAGAATGTCTCAGGATGACTGACTTTTCATCAGATCCATTATTAGATTCTGAAAGCTTTGCTCTGCTCTGTCGTGGAGCAATAGAAGCTTGCAAGTCCATTAAACTGTATAAAAAAACCTATTTTCCCTTCCCCTCATTTCTGAAATGAACATTTCAATCAGTGTGTTGCCTTTGGGAAGGATGGCGGGTGAAGGTCAGTATAAATTTCAGCAGGAATAATTAGATTCTTTATTAGTCTTTGCCACTGAATTCCGCTCCAAAGAGGAATGGTGCAAAGGAGCAGCGTTGGCCGGGTGTTGACTTAATGTCACCCATCCATTTTGCTTTCGCTCTGGTTGGCCTCGCAGGAGCTGGAAAATGGGAGGCTCATTCATCACTGGTTTTCTCTGGCTCCGGGCACCAACATGTATTCAGTCATAGCTCGAGTGACATGCACAGACACACACACTCTGGAACAACAGAGGGTTGCGCGCACACACACACACACACACACACACACACACACACACACACACACACACACACACACACACACACAGATGCATCTCAGTGTGAATATAACAAGAATAACTAGTATGAAGTGTAAAAATGTCTCAAGATGTTATGGCACAAAAACACTCAGACCTGTCACATGTATTAACCGCCACACTCCCATTCCCTGAACCATTCGTGTGTGCAGATATAGTCAGACCTCTGACGCTGTGTGATTGATTGACTGACAGCAGCCCAGGCATCTGTATTCTGGCAGCACAGTGTGACACGAGTGACGTTCAGCTGAATGTTTGCGAGCTCTCACTTCTCATACATTTTGAAGCGATCCTCCATCATTTTCCCATGTTTATTTCCCTCTTATCCCATCCAGAGAGGAATCCCCATTGGCCAGTTCTGCAAGGACTTCAATGAGAAAACCAAGGAGCTGAAGGAGGGCATCCCTCTCCCAATCAAGATCCACGTGAAGGTGCGTCTTTGAGGCTCGTTGCAGGTCTCTCTAACCCAGCCCTGACCCTTTACACTTAGTACCCCTCCCTCCCACGATTGTGGTTAATTCCACTAGCTGCATAACATTATCAGAGCACTTCCATTATTCATACTCTACCACTGAAGTAAGCCTTTCCATTTGCATTCATTAATGGAGCAATACCCAGAGGAACTTGGAGTCAAGAAGCATTAAGTGCATGCAAGAAATGGGAATTACTCAGAAAAGAGGTGTTATGAGCGTGTAGTTTTCATTTTACACAACCATGTATTGTCTGACTTGCCACACCCTCCTCCCACCTCTTTGTATGTTGTTTGAAATCAGGAGTTGCGTCCTTTTAACAGTGTTGTAATGAGGTTTGTGATGTCAGGAGGGGGGAAGCCTAATCCTTTTAAAAGGCGTGAATTTATTTTGACATGCAATATCCAGCAACAGCTCTGCCATCACATCTGGGGCCTCGCTGCTGCCCGTCATTGCCATCTGCTGGTGTTTTTTAGTGTTGTGCTTGTTCTGTATACACTGTTCTGTGTCTACTTTGTAATGTTAAGTGTGTGCATGCAACATGTTTCAACCTCTGAAATGAATGTTTCTCAGCTCAACTTTCCCCTCAGACTTGTCGGCAGCTTTGAGCTGTGCCTTTTATCTCACTTTAAATGTTGACATTTTGGGAAATCCAGGGATTTGCTATCTGGCAGAGAATTAGTTGAAAAGGTTGATACAACACTTGTGTTTGTGTGTTAACTAAAAGAGCTTGAGCCAGGAATTAGCTGAACATAAAGACTAGAAACAGCGAGCCTGTCTCTGTCCAAAGTTTAAAAAAAAAATCATCCTTCCAGCACGAAGGTGTGTATCTCATTTGTTTAATCCATATGCAAACAGACATGTAACAAGATTAAGAGTGTACAGCCATGCCAGCGGGCGGCTGTACTTGCCTCACAGTGGTGCTTTCAGCTAAATGCTAACGTCAGCGTGCTAACATGCTGATTTTTAATTAGCACTAAACATAAAGTACAGCTCAGGTTGACGGGAATCACATTAGGTGTTCGATCATAAACCAAATATTAAACAAATTAAAATTTTGACCTGATGATGGATGATGAAAAGTCAAGGGATCACCAATTTTATTTCAGTTCATCCTGAATGAATGTCTGAACCTAATTTAATGGAAATCCAACAGATATTTAATCTGAAACAAAGTGGTGAACCGAAAGACTTACATTGTCATCCATAGCGTGGCTAAAAAGTTGTGGTTTTACACGGGATTAGTTGCTGCTATTTCTTGCCAAACAGTTGCTAGGTGCAGAGACCTCCTGGTGTCTTATGGTTACACAAGAATCCAGGCAACAAGTTATACTAGTGTACAGATTAGGGCTGGGACGATTCACTCATCGATAACGAAAATACTTTAATTTGCATAATGTGGTTGGCGCGTCGCAATAAAGCAGTAAGGTCAGGCTGCAGCCTGTCCCTGTAGCACTTGCCCCCTGGTTTACAGGCCACACCTGCACCCTGGACAAAATAACAAAATAGTTGAAAAGTTTCAGTCTGGTTTTAGGAAGTACCACAGCACTGAGACTGCCCTGCTTAAAGTCACCAATGACCTTTTAATGTCTGCTGATGAAGGCATGTGCTCAGTCCTGGTACTCCTGGACCTGGCGCTGCTTTTGACACCATTGATCACAACATCATGTTAGACAGACAGACTGAGGCACTGGGTGGGGATCTCTGGTACTGCCCTAGAATGGTTTTCATCCTACCTGTCAAATCGGAAGTTTTGCGTGTCTGTAAACAACTATGTCTCCTCGTTCTGTCCAGTTAAATATGGTGTGCCTCAGGGGTCGGTCTTAGGACCCATTTTGTTTTCCTTGTACCTGCTTCCCCTTGGATATATTATCCATACACATGGCATTTCTTTTCATATTTATGCTGATGACACACAAATATACTTGCCCGTCAGATCCACAGACCCTGGAATGCTGAGTTCACTTAACAACTGCCTTTGTGAAGTTAAAAAATGGATGTCAAATAACAGAAACAAAACAGAAATCCTGGTCATTGGGTCCCAGCAGATGGCAAATCAAATACTGCCATCTGCTGGTTCCCTAGTAAATCACATTAAGCCTGTGGCAAAGAACCTTGGTGTTTGGTTTGATAGTAATTTAAATTTCAAGCAGCACACCACAAAGCTTGTTCAATCATGTTTTTATCAACTTAGAAATATAGCTAAAATTCGATCTATGTTAACTTTTAAGGACACCGAGACCATTTTACACGCCTTCATCTCATCATGCCTGGATTATTGCAACAGCCTTTTCACCTGTTTAACCCAAAAATCTATTTATCGACTCCAGACTGTCCAGAACTCAGCTGCCAGGCTTTTAACCAGAAGAAATATGACCACATTACTCCTATTTTAGCTTCATTACACTGGCTCCTAGTATGTTTTAAAATTGACTTTAAAATTCTATTGATCACTTTTAAAGCTCTTCATGGCCTCTTGCCTTGTTATATTTCTGACCTTTTAGTCCCATACACACCAGCACGTACCTTGAGATCCTCGGGCAGAGGTCTGCTGTCTGTTCCAGAGTCTCGACTGAAAACTAAAGGGGACAGAGCGTTTGCTGTCAGGGCTCCGAGGCTCTGGAACAGCCTGCCCGAGGAAATCAGGTTGGTTGAGTCAGTGAACTCTTTTAAGTCCCTTCTTAAAACATACTTTTATAGGAGAGCCTTTCCCGATCTTATTTGACTTTATTTTATCCCTTTTATTTTATTGTATTTTACTAATTTTATATTTATCTGTATTTTAGTCTTTTCAATGTTTTCATGCTTTTATCTTGTATTGTTTTTGTATTATTGTCTTTACACTTGTTAAAGCACTTTGTAACTTGTTTTTGAAAAGTGCTCTACAAATAAAGATTATTATTATTATTATTATTATTTAAGTGCTGCACCTGATCAAAGCAGGGATTTCCTCGGAGAACAAGCTGCAGCTAACAAACCTGGCCTTCGCCTATCTAAAGTTTGGTATTTTAGAACAGAGACCCAGCTGTGTGGTGCTCTGTAAGGTCTGCAAATTGGAAATGACTTATCACAGAGGTACAATTTCCTGGAGCGCTTTGTCAAGATGGCAGAGGCAGCACCGCAAGTCCTGTTTACTTTTTGTCTCCATACAAGCACATTGTATTAGGATTATCAACACGAGGAACGTTTCACTTGTTTTGTTTGCCCCACACTGATGCAAAAATAGGTTATTATCTTACTGCATATTACTCCAGTGATGAAAGAAATTTCTTCTTCTTCGTCTACGTCTTCAAATGTTTTAATAATAATAAAATCATAATAGATCCGTGATGTGGAAATTAGACTGAATTTAATTTATCATTATTTAAATTTGCATTATTGATGAGACAAGTTTTTGATATTTATATTAGATAAATGAATTCCAATCTTAATTGAGTAATAAAAAAATAGAACAATACATTAGAACAATAAATTAGTCCTTAGATTAACTACAGCTAATAAAAAAATTATCATTAAATGATAAAAGCTAATTAATGAATTTTAGAGGTTCAAGTAGCTAGATTTTGTTTAATTTTGGACAGAGCAGGCTAGCTGCTTCTGTTTCCAGTCTTTATGATAAGCTAAGTTAATCACCTCATCTATCTCTTGATATCAAGCTATTGCTCAAACACTTTTTTCACGGCCTTTATAACACTGTCACGCCCCGTCTTTGTGTTTTTTTCGCGTTTTCATTTTGTAAGAAAAAGCCAGGCGCAGTAAATGTTTGTGTTTCATCTTATGAAATGTAGGAGGAAACAACAGCAGCTCATTGAACCTTTGCAACCAACAGCTTTTCCGTAGATAGAGAAAAATTCTGTTCCCACTGTCGAAAGGTCACAACTGTTAGATAACACGACTCTGATGACAAATCACCTGCTCTGTGGTATCTTCTCAGCTCAGCCTACAGTTTATTGTCCTGTGTTTTTTTTTGTTTGTTTGTTTGTTTTTTACGTGACAGATAACAGATGATCCAAAGAAAACTTTCCACGTATGATTTATTGATTGGATCTATATGTCAGATTTTATAAAGACCTTGGGGCCAGGGAATAATTCTGAATTAAAAGAAAAGGATCAGAATAACTCAGTGAGGCTGAAGAGATTATTTTTATTTTGGTCTTGAGAGGACAGAAAGAGCGAGTGGATGAGAGCAGATGAGTACAGCAGCAGATGAAGATGCAAGGGGTAGACGTATTATGTAACACTTAATGCAAACAGTTTAGGTTATTTCAATGTTTTTCTCTTCTTTAAAACTGCACTAATTATCAGAATTACCTACACTTCTCCTCAGCTCTGCAGAGATTTTTAGCCTCTTTCAGCTCATTGTCTTAGTTTTACAACTCACAATTATAATGTTTTGATTTACTCTCAAAACTCTCATCAGCATTGTTCCCAGCTGCAGCAGTAAAACACACTGTACACTACCTGCTCAGCACAATATAGCACACAGACACAGTTAGCGACTAGCTGGTGAAAGGAGAGTGAGTATTGGACTTCATCAGGTGTCCTGAAACTAGACACTAAATTAATGATAATATTGCTCAATTAAAGGGGCTATACAGGGGTTGGACAATGAAACTGAAACACCTGGTTTTAGACCACAATAATTTATTAGTATGGTGTAGGGCCTCCTTTTGCGGCCAATACAGCGTCAATTCGTCTTGGGAATGACATATACAAGTCCTGCACAGTGGTCAGAGGGATTTTAAGCCATTCTTCTTGCAGGATAGTGGCCAGGTCACGACGTGATGCTGGTGGAGGAAAATGTTTCTTGACTCGCTCCTCCAAAACACCCCAAAGTGGCTCAATAATATTTAGATCTGGTGACTGTGCAGGCCATGGGAGATGTTCAACTTCACTTTCATGTTCATCAAACCAATCTTTCACCAGTCTTGCTGTGTGTATTGGTGCATTGTCATCCTGAT